CAAGTCCTCTCCTGGATGCCTGGGTCTTCTTCTGGACAGCCAGATCCTCTCCTGAACATCTGGATGTTCTCCTGAACATCTGGGTGCCCTCGTTGATATCTGGGTGGGCTCCTAAGAAAAGAAAACCAAAAAAAAGGGGGCAGCAGAGGAGGAAAGGGCAGGAAATAACCTGAAGCGAGGTTGATTTCTACCAAAAACGAGGAAAAGAAAGGAGAAGAAACACCCTAAAAAGCTCGCAAGTCCTAGAAATCGAATAATGGGGGAAACGGGTTTTTTTTTTTGGGGGTGGGGATGGGCGGGGAGTTGAATTTCTACCGGTTCTTGGGTCGATTGCTCTGGTTTCTTTCTTTTTCCCTGCCCCGCTCCGTTTCCCGCCTCAGTTTCTTACCCGGACGTCTTGCAGTGCGTCAACGTCACCATCTTCTCGACGGCCGAATGTCGCCGGTTATATCCCGGTTCCATCACCGAGAACATGCTCTGCGCCGGCAGTCTCCAAGGCGGTAGGGACTCGTGCCAGGTAAGGTCAAAATGGCCGCCGAGCCTCCCATCTCCTCATCTCCCAGTGTCAATTTGCCATCGTTGTCTCCAAGGTTGGCCAACACGATGATGTTCTTCAACCTAAAGAAGGGTTGGCCAACTCCTTCCCTAGTTGGGTGACTCATCCCTAGTTGGCCAACTCATCCCTAGTTGGTCAACTCCTTCCCTAGTTGGCCAACTCACCAACAGCCGGTCAACTTGAGTTGAATAACCCCAAGGTTGGTTCTTCAACCCAACAAGAGTTGGCCAACTCAAGTAGAATTGGCCAACTCGGCAACGGTTGGAAGATCCAAATGGATTTGGACAAGGTCTTGGGGTTGTTGGCCAATCCAATGATGGTCTTCAACCTAAAGAAGGGTTGGTCAACTCCTTTCTAGGTGGCCAACTCCTTCCCTAGTTGGCCAACTCATCACTAGTTGGCCAACTCCTTCCCTAGTTGGCCAACTCACCAACAGCTGGTCAACTTGAGTTGATAAACCCCGAGGTTGGTTCTTCAACCCAACAAGAGTTGGCCAACTCAAGTAGAATTGGCCAACTCGGAAACGGTTGGAAGATCCAAATGGATTTGGACAAGGTCTTGGGGTTGTTGGCCAACCCAATGATGGTTGACCAAGCCACCAAACCACCCAATGAGCATTGGTGACCCAACGCAACGATGGTTGACCCACCCAAGAGTTGGACAGTCCAATCTCATGGATTGGTTAACCCAAGCGTAGACGATCAACCTCCAAAAAGCTTGACCAAACCAATGGGAGGTGACCAAGCCAACGATGGTTGGCCAACCCAACCATGGCTGGTCAACCTAACCATGGCTGGTCAACCCAACAACTCTTGACCAATCCAACAATGCTTGGCCAACCCAACAACTCTTGGTCAACCCAACAACTCTTGACCAACCCAACAATGCTTGGCCAACCCAACAACTCTTGGTCAACCCAACAACTCTTGGTCAACCCAACAACTCTTGACCAACCCAACAATGCTTGGCCAACCCAACAACTCTTGACCAACCCAACAATGCTTGGCCAACCCAACAACTCTTGGTCAACACAACAACTCTTGGCCAACCTAGAGAAATCACCCAACCCAATGAGATCCACCAACGGTGGGTCAAACCATAAAGAGTTGGCCAACCCAACAAGGGTTTGGATGACCTCGTCTCGTGGGGCATGGAGAAATGTGGTCAACCCAAGAGACCCGGGGTCTACACCAAGGTCTGTAGATACTTCCAGTGGATCCAGAAGATCATGAAGGACAACCAATGAAGGTCCAACCACCTCCGAATGTCCAAGAGGAGGTCAGAAGACCCACGGTCACGTTACAACTTCTCGCCGGGGTGGGGTGTGGCCATCCCAACAACTCTTGGTCAACACAACAACTCTTGGCCAACCTAGAGAAATCACCCAACCCAATGAGATCCACCAACGGTGGGTCAAACCATAAAGAGTTGGCCAACCCAACAAGGGTTTGGATGACCCAACGAAGACCGGTGGGGGGTCATACCACGTCTTTCCGTAGGGTGACTCTGGAGGACCTCTGGTTTGCAACGGGACCCTCCAAGGTATCGTCTCGTG